CAGACAAGTTGCTGTCCTTTTGTTCTTCAGTCTAGTTGTGGAGGACGTTGCTTCACTGGCCCAAGTTGGCATCATCATTGCGCTTTTCCTGGGTGAGGCAGATCAGTCGCTGGCTTCTGGACGGCCGCTCACTGCGGCTGCTTGGCCGCTCACGCTGGCTGCTGGCTACACATGGTAGCCCATGGCAACTCACTGAAGCAATGGCTGCAGCCTATGCCGTCGCCGGCGACTCATGGCATCCCAGCTCCAGGTTGAGCTGTTGTTCAGCATCTTAGCTGTACAGGGCAGTGTCACTGGCCCTCATATGTGGGATCCGAACCGTGGCCCTCTGGCGTCCCAAGCCAGCTCTTAACCAACGCGCCACTCAGCCAGCCCTCTATTTGCACTTTTTAAGAGCCACAATAATGTAGATGTTTTTGAAGCAGTAGAATGAAGTGGTTTCAGTACTGGTTTATGACATTAAGCAAGTTACTTAACTTCTATGCCTCAGCAAAGAGTAGTGGTATTAAGGATACCCACTTCATGAGGAATAAATGAGTTTTATGTCCCAGGTGCTCTTTTAAGCACTTTCTATGTGTTCAGTGCTCAGTAAATGCTAATTGCTGCAACTTAGGGTTTTATACTTGTTACTTCAGGCTGCTGTTCTAGCAACATATCATCTCTGCTATTAAAACATTGCCTTATTTTTGGTGCTGTTTACAATGCCTGTTTGCATAACACGATGTATCTTGAACTTCAAAATGTCATATTTCATAGATTCCATGATTAATTACTATTATTACTTTTTATTACCTCTGAAATGGAGGTACATTTTTAAATTGATACCTTGTAATAGTTTAATCAGCAACCTGTGTTCTTTTCCAGTGGTACATAAAATAATGGTGTGAATTGCAATTTATGGCATCTTACATTTAACAGAATAAATGAATACTATTTTAGCTTACATAATTTACCTTGACAATTGAATTATGAATAAGACCCAAAATAATATGTGCATTGAGATTAAATCACTACTCTTGTAATTTTTGGCTTTAGAGAAGACTAGGTAGACTTCCCTGTATCTCTCCCCACCCCTTCCCTCTCTCCAGCTTCTCTCTGTCCTTCTTCTCTTTCCCTCTCTCTATTCCCTCCTTAATATTTTAGAAGACTAAACTTTCAGGAAACATGTTTTAAATCCTAATAAGTAGAATAGCTACATACATACTATATTGTGTTAGCAGTATGGGTTATCTATCATGCTCATAGCATCTTTGTTACCTGTAAACAAACAAACAAAAACCCACCAGCACTCAACAGACTATGGCGTTTGGTTTTTCCAGGTCTTTTGCTGTATAGGCTCATTCTGCATGTAATTTTTCTGTTAGGGCCTTATGTCTCAATGGAGAGGTCCTTTAACAAGCTGGCTTTTTCCAGCCTTTCCTTTACCTCTGTCATGTAGGAGTAGGCCTTGACACATTCCAGGTCATGCAGGCTTTAGTAAACAAAAGTTCAAGTCTCCAATCCCAGTCTGTAGTTACTGACTGGTATGCTGGTTTGTTACTTTTAGAAAGCTTTTCTTTTCATTTCTTTTTTAGCTATTTTTAGCCACAGGCACTTGTTTTTTGCCTGCATAGTTGATCAGTTACTATTAAGTGAAGTTGTCAGAACAAGAATTGGTCACCTTTTGAAAAGTGGTAGGATAAAGTTCTTTCTGCCAGAAAGGGCAGAGTGGCTCGTTGCTAGTTTTCATGACCACAGACCTAACAGTGGGGGTTTTATAAATACCATGAAGTGACAGTCCACCCACATACCACATGAATTGCTCACATCTGGAAAACAAATAGAAAGTAGTAGTAGATAAATGTTACTTGAACCACCATCTGGGCATCTGCTTTTTTTTATCTGTTGCCCTCTCGGACATAGTATGAAGTGTATTACTTTTTCTAAAGAGTGCCTTTTGTTCCCCCCAGACATTCCAGCTGCAGCTTCTGTCTCCCAGTAGCAGCATTGTCCCAGCATTTAATACGGGGACCATCACACAAGTCATTAAAGTTCTGAACCCACAGAAGGTGAGTGGCACGTTTTGAAGACAATATCTGAAGAAGGTGTAAGCATATTCCCTGAAATAAAATTCTACTTTGTTTCTTGGATTTTTTGACTCAGAGTCATAAGAAATCTGTGAAAATGTCTAATCTTGTTCTTTTGTAGATAATAAACAGAGCCCAGACACATTAAATGATTTAGTGGCATCTTATTAAAATGCAGCTTTAAAAAAAAATTCTCTATTTAGAGGCTTAAGGTCTAGTTTTTTACTGGGGGAGGGGGAAAGCTTAGACATTATAATGTACTATAAAGTTGTAGTCTGGGGTAAGAGCATCTGTGAACCAAATATCCACATTTACTACTTTAATTGTTGAGTAGGCATAGCAAATGTGGAGACATTTTTAATGAAGCAGCCAAATGAAAAAGAGCTTTAGAAACTGAAATTAAATGATATTTTTATTAAATCTTTTCAAAGAAGTAATGGACTCCACTTAATACTAATCAATTCACTAGTTTTCAGTTTTTGAAAATGATGCAGAGAATTTCTTCACCATGAAAGATATCTAGTTGTGCCACATAAATACTAATATGATTTCATCCTCTTGTAACACTTGCATTTCTTCTGCTATTCATTGTATTTGAAGTATCTACCTATATAGCACAAACACAATTTCCTTTGACGATCTGATACATAGAATCAGAATTTTCTTAGTGCGTTAAATATTTGAAATCTGCTACATAAAGTGAAAAGTACTTTGAGTTCATTTAAAATTACTGCTGTTATCTGTAAATTAACTCTTTTTTTTCTTTTATGCCATGGGAATCAAACAAGTCTATGTTTACATTTACTATAGGTTTTACAGACAAAGCAACAGTATATCTGAATGTAGAGCATTTGATGACTATTATATGTTTACTTCATTTTTCTAGAAACTTAGATAAAAGCGTTGAATCTTTTTTAAAAACACTCAGCAAATGTTACCATGAAAATGCTCCCGAGTGGTTCTTTCCTATTAATGCAGTTCTAGGATTGAAGCCAGGGATGTGTTCAGGAGATGAATTTCCTCTACTTGACTGCATGACATTGGCTCCTCCACCAATAAATAGCTAGAGTAATGGGAGTTTTTGTTTGTTTGTTTTTGTTGTTATTGTTTGCCTGCGTGCCATTTTTAAGAAACAGCTTTGCTTTAAAATAATTTGTTTTCTCTAAGATTAAGTCCATGTGTGGACTGGACAGATTCTAGAGATTATATTTCAGTGTATAATTGTGACTCTCTTCCTCTCACAGCAACAGCTGCGAATGCGGATCAAGCTCACATATAATCACAAGGGCTCAGCAATGCAAGATCTAGCAGAGGTGAACAACTTTCCCCCTCAGTCCTGGCAATGAGGGTCCTGCACCGTTCTCATTCTTATCCCACTCAATCAAAGGAACTCTGGGAAGGAGGTTGTGATCGCTGGCAAGTCCCCCCCAACTGTACCATGGGCATGAGGAGCTGAAGAGAAGAAGAACTGTTGAGGAGGATTTTCCTAAAGTTACTGCTGACCTTGAAGGATCGTTCAAGACTAATCTCCTCTCCTCCACTGATGAGGCCGGCTGCTTCTGGAGGCTACTTTGCACTCTTCCTCCTCTCCTCCTTTCTCCGCACTTCTCCACCCCTCCCACATTTACAGCCAGAATCAACATTCCCTGGGCCCCTGAGGAAATCAGCAGCTGGTCTGGAGGAGCAGACTGGAATCCATGGCAAGAAAACACTCACTCTGTCTCTGCAGCAAACAGTTGCCCCTTCTTTCTACTGTGTTTCTCTGTGGACTGGGCAAGGTGGGGCATTTATTCCTCACTAGCTGGGTCACCATCTTCAGGCACTTTTTACATCTGGCATTCATAATGGAAATGTAAGAATGGACATTAGGGAGCCCTGCCTTTTTCTACTGGTTCCCCCAATGTTTGAAAGAGGCATTAGGCTCCTGGTAGCCTTTTCTGTGCATTGCTGTATACACACAGACACACACTTGTATGTATGTTTGTTACCAAGAACTGGTCAGACCTTGAGAGGTTATTTGTAAACACTGGACAGATGCAGTTTAACAGAGCTTTTGTTGAGATTTGGCATGAAGGATATGGTGCTTTATTTGTAATAGAAACTTCCAAGGCTCTTCCAGCTCCCCTTTCTTTCCATTCTTTAGCTGTAGCCATGAATAAATATTCCCCATGATTTTCAAAATTGATTCCCCTTAAAGTGCAAGGTGGACAACTTCTAAAAGATATACATATATACATGTATGTGTGCGCATATATATATATATATATATATATANCTCACACCGGCTGCTGGCCGCTCACGCTGGCTGCCAGCCACTCACGTAGCTCATGGCAGCCCACTGCAGCAGGGGCTGCAGCCTACACCATCGCCGGCGACTCAAAGCAGCCCAGCTCCAGGTCGAGCTGTTGTTCATCATCTTAGCTGTAGAGGACGAGCGTTCACTGGCCCTCATGTGGGGTCCAAACCACAGCCCTGCTGCTCAGAGCTGGCGCTCCCAAGCAAGCTGTTAACCAGCTGAGCCGTCCACTCGGCTGTCCAAAGGGATATATTTTAATGTTTAGAGATTAAACTAAATTTGCAGGTTTAGCCCAAACTAAAAATAATGTAAGTATTATGGTTCACTCACTGAAGCATGTCACTTTTAGTAAATACTCTTTACTTGGTCATAAATATTCTTATAGTTAGTATTGTAGGGTAAAGAAAGGACATTCTAATAGTAGCGAGAGTAGGAGTCTGTTAATGCTCGGGGCATTGGGGATAGGTTGGGGCAATAGAGTGGTAAAGACCTAAAAAACACAAATTCTAACATGGAATTAAAGTTGATTAAGATGAGAGATTTTATCTTTTTGGTATTTTCTTTAGAGAAGTGAAAGCTCTCACCTCTTGATGTATAAGTGAGAGAAACATATCTCCTCCATTAACATCTAGTTTACTGGGGTTTTTTTGGCTGAGCCATCCTACCACCTGTTGGCAGCTCAGTGGCAGCTCAGCTCAGGCTGGGCATTGAACCGCTGTTCCTCAGAGCTCACATTCTTGAGCGAGCTCTTAACCAACTGAGCCACTCGGCCAGTCCACATCTAGTTACTGTTGATTTAGTGATTGCTTGTTTTTGTAAATTGAAGTTTCGTTTATACCAAATATTAAGTTTAAGGAGTGTTTATGTTCATCTTTCAATAATGATAAGTTTTGAATAAAGAAAAATTTAGGATGAGGAGTGGGCAGAATTTTTCTGTAAAGGGCAAGATAGTGTTTTAGGCTATGTGGTCTGTGTTGCATCTCCTCGGTTCTGCTGTTACAGTGCCGAACGGCCACAGACAGTATATAAATGAAGGCGTATGGCTCCGTTCCATACAAAAACAGGTGTCAGTTCATTCCTGGCTGTGGGCCATAGTTTGCGAACAACCTCTGGTTTAGACTAAGCTGATTTGATATTTGCAGTGACATTAAGTGTGACATTCAGACCACACATTTTTGGAAATTTTAAGACAACTTTTATTTGTGGTTACTGCTGATTTTGCAGTTCTTCTCTATTTGCACTTTTTTTTTTTAAAGATTTTTTTATTGGGGAATTGGGGGATGAGAACAGCGCTGGGGAATTGGGGGAAGGGGAACAGACAAGTTGCTGTCCTTTTGTTCTTCAGTCTAGTTGTGGAGGACGTTGCTTCACTGNCACACACACACACATAGTTATTAATGCCCCTATTGCCACCACAAATTTTAAAGATCTCCTAAGCCCGTAACTTGCCTGTTGAACTATGGTAAATGGGTGGAAAGAGGAGTTCACCACTTTTAAAGATTAGACTCCTTAACAAAAGCACCTTTGCCCATAGGAAGAGTGAGTATCAGACTCATCCTAGAGCATACTGGAGTCACCTCCCATTACTCCAAACCTCCCTTTTTATTTCCTGAGCCTGGCTTGGACCTTGGCATTCCATTTGAATTCCTTCTTCTAACTGGAACATTTGTGTTGTATCTGTAACACTGGCACTGAAATAAAGACCACACGGTTAAAGAAATCTTTCCTATATTGTACTTTATGGTGTTGAAATGAAGCCTTGCAGCTTCCTTGTCCCCTGTGTCAGAGGGAGTCTTATGGACACCATAGAGTAGGAAATATCTTATCCTGAGTCTGAGAAATTGGTGTCTTGAGAGAGGCCAATCTCATGAATATCTGCATTGGAGACTCTTGAGATCTGGAGTTTTTAAAAAACTAGTGAGAGAGTGCCGAGTGCTTTTTTTAGAAAGGACCCTTGTGCTACCAAACTTGAACATAGAGTTGCTGGAATGAGGTAGGGTGACTGTCCTGTGGTATATGTTGAATGTACTGTGTATGTTCAGGTGCACAGGTGCCATGTCTGATGTACTAAAGGAGAAAGGAAAGGTCAGGCCCACTTTGCTCTTAAAATATTTGCAATCATTACTGTATTGAGTACAGTATAATGACTACTTTGGCTTTGGTCTGAAACCTGGGTACAAATATCCATTTCCCCCCTTCATTTCACCAAGCCTTTACTTAAAATTTTCAGTGTCTTGTCAAATCTAGCTCTGCATCAGATGCTAGACTATTCCTGACAAACTGGAGTTGAACTAAAGGCTCCAAATGGAAACTTTCTGGTCTTACCAATATATATATAAGACCAGGATTTGCTAAAACTTCACTAGGTAAATGGCTGACTGAATCAAGGACAGGATATTATCTTGTGCGTAGTTTTCAGTTCAGCAAGTGTGGACTAGTATGTATGTTAGACAACTGCTCTGCCTATGCAACGAAAAAGAGCCTTTAAAGGTTGCTTTGCAGACTGATTTCATTGGATGGCTACTTAATGCTGTGAAACATGATAGGATTAACACAATATTGGCGGATTTCTTGAATAGAATTTGTCTAACATTCCTCTTTGTGGTAGAGGCTTTATTTTCTCTCTTACGTTTATAGTTTACCAGCTCAAGTTTCTTTAGTTGAACTGAGTTGAATCTCAGAACTATCTGCTGGAGACCATGGTTATAAGACAGCGCTAGCAAATGGAGCTGGAAAGGGTCTGCTCTAGTGACAAAACATCTCCTTGGGTAATCATAGTTTTAAGGTAGAGTTATGTGATCATCCACAGCTTTTGTCTAGAAGGGATAAAAATCATGGCCTTAACACAAAGGGTGCTGTGTAGACTATGAAGTGATTTCAGAGAGTACCTGAGCACGGTACTGAAGGACTAGCGGCCACATACTTGCCTAGGATACTGATGGTTGTGAAGACTGTTTCAAATGATCGGATCTTTGAAAGCTTCAGTGTGCCTTAGTTTCTAGGATCAGAATTAGTTCTCCTCTCACTTGGCCTTGCTGCTAAAAGGATAAGTCTCTTAATTTCTATGAGTACTTGCACATTTCAGTCATTTCTTTCCCTAGTATAACCATTCAAGGGGGAGCAAATTTGGATAGATATACAACGGTAGAGCCATTGTAAGGAAAGAGTGATTTCCATGGCTGTTTTAATAACTCCAGGGTGATAAGCAGTGAGCCTATACACACTTACTTGGACGATTTCACATGCACTTTTACCTCATTTATTCCCTCTTACACAGTAGTTTGTATCCTCTCCCCTCCTTCCCCCGTTAACTCTTTTTTTTCTTTTATGCCATGGGAATCAAACAAGTCTATGTTTACATTTACTATAGGTTTTACAGACAAAGCAACAGTATATCTGAATNTAATCCTAAGGGAGAATTCATCTAAGTAATCTCAAAAACTTGTAGGAAGGGTGCTCTACCCGAGAAGCTTCTCCCACAATGCTCCGGTGCTGTTACCTTGAGGCGATTTGGACAGTCATGGAATGTTTTATCTGTGTATAGCGATTGTCTGTTCAGTTTAAAGTTATTCTCATTTAAAGCAACATTCCTCATTGTAACAGTTGGGAGGAGATTCTTTCCTCTTGCGAAGTTAAAGATATGGTTTGTACCCCTTGTTTGTCCCATTCATATAAGAAAATAGACTTTTAAAACTGTCCAGCACTAATGGTTTGAGTATTTCTATATAAATAATATGCTTTCCACTTCTATGTTCTCCTAGAAGAGGTTGGAAGTTAGGGGATACTGTTTTTGAGTTTCAACTTCATTATCTTCTGCATTGGAAAATATTTGGGCCGTGATAACTAGGGGAAAGAGTTTGAATGTGTCCTTTTTTTCCTAGTGAATGTATTTTATCCACATTGTCCTAAACTGAAAAGAGCTAGAGAGCAAAAAGTGGATATTCACAAACTTTGTGATTGGTGGAGAGGTGTTACATGTCTGTGTACTCATGAGTTTGGGAGTGGGGAGGGTCACTGAAGAGAGAATTGCTCAGCAAGTGCTGATGTTTAAAACACTTTGACCAGCTTTGGCTCAGGAGGGTGGGGCTGTTTGTAGAACTGGAAGTGAAGAACTCTTTCAAGCAATAGCAGTGAGCGGGTCCCATCTACTCCAGGGGTTCCAGACTTGGAACACTTAAACAGAAGAAAATGCTGAAGCAGCTTGCACAGTTGCTTCACAAACTTCCACGAGGTTGATTGATTCTGGCTTCAAGATGGAGCATTGGAGTTTTTGTTTTTTGTTTTTGGAACCTGCTGTTGCGCTTTGTGTGTTTTGTTTTTGTTTTCTATTTGGGGACCACATGGGAAAGAGCTTCTGGACTCTTTCCTCTGTGAACTCCCACTGTGTCCCTGTAAAGTCCTTTTTCTTTCAAAATGTTGTAAGTTACATTTTCATTACGCCCCATCACATCTTATTTACTGTAAAAATATTAAAAGGCTGTTTCCAAGTGGGACGGCTAATGAAGTTCTAATTATTGCAGACATATTTTTGAGATGTAAAAAAAATTTAAAATTAAATGATAAGTCTTAGAGGCGAGTGAGGAGTAAAATGGATGTAAACATTTACATGGGATGCATTAGAATTCTGCTGTGTGTATTGTCTTTTGGTTGAAACAAATTATGAACAGTGACTAATAATAAAAAGTCAATACTCGATTTAAAATTTGCTTCCTCGCTTCTTGCAAGTTAATTACAGAAGCCTTGGATGAATTCTTATTCCAGAGCTTTGAGCTAAACTTACCTGTTAATGTTCCTTTTACACAAATCTCACCAAGAGGAATTTGAACAACTTAAAAAAAACCTTGTAGACAGTGAAAAGTGTAATTGGAAAATTTAACTATATGGTTATTTTCATGCTTATCTTCTCCACAAAGGGTGAATTTTCACACAAGGCAAAGAAACCATCTCAAGTGAAATGTGTATTAGAGGTGGTCATAGGGTTTCAGTTACAAGCTTCTCTTTGTGAATTGTTCAAGTATATCTGTGACTGGGAAGAGGAAGGCTTGACTAGCCAAAATGAATTCTGTTTCCTGATCTATTTTATATGAACTCTTCCATAGAAGTGAGGGTGGTCTGAAGTTGGAATCTTTAGGTTTTCTCTTACTCAGGTGATCCCTGGCAGTTCCTTGATTGAGAAGGGGGAGAGTGTGACAGTCCTCTAATTGAGAAGGAGAAGGATGAAGGTCTTGGCAATTGTCTAGTTTATGCAGAAGGGCCCTTTGGCACAGTTTGATAAGTGACATTTCCATAATCTTTCCTATATGTGGCTTAGTTAAAATTCACTTTGTTTCTAATATTAAATTTAGTTCATACCTTCATCTACATGTAATTAGATGACAATATAAAAGCTACAATAGAAAAGTTTAGCAAATAGACTCCAGACATTTACTTAATACAGCGAGTAGTGTGCAGATTTGAAGTTCAGTCTAGAGGACCAAATTAATTTTTAACACCTTTAAGGTTTTCCATGCTGTTTGCTCCCCTCGTTCAGTTGTCCCCATATTCAAAAAATATAAAAATGTTCAAAGAAAAAAATTCCTTCAAACTTTGAAGCCAGGTAAATACTGCCTGTTGATTTGGAACTAAAATAAGTAATATCTAAATCTGCTCAACCCTGTGAGAACAAGGGACTTAGGTCTAAAGATAACTTTGTGATCATTGAAGGAGTGGGTACCACCTATAAATAAGCCAATGTAGTAAGCTCTTAGGGCTCCTCCACCAAAATCTGATAGATAAGAACTTTCCTTCTTTAGACATTCTTTCCATTTTGTAGGATTAGGAAAGCCAAGATAACTGTGTTTGTGTCCAGGTGGAGAGAGGTATGCACAGCTGGTTATCAGAAGGATATAAAGAGGAAGGAGTGTAATGACTTCTCTGTCTCTTGGCTTGATCCAAACAGTGATTTTTGTAAAGATGAACCTGCAGTGAGGGCAGATGGATTTTTGCACACAAAAAAAATCCCAGAGGAATTTATTTTTAGGGTTAGTCTAAGCTGTTTACCATTTCTAGAAATTGTAGTTACATAACCCTTGACATACATAATGCACACTGCCTTGAACTGGGGAGAACATGAATATGTGACCTTTGAAACTATAAAATGTTAATGGCAGTACATGATTTGAAAAGAAAACTGAGAATCAACTGGTTGTCACTACTTACTGAATTGGATCTTAAATCATGGAGACCTTTAAAGGGAGTTACATCAAATTATCCCTTGCAATCTCTGGGCTGGTAGCTTTTTTTTTTTCTTTTTTACTTTTGAAAGAGGTACTACTGTTGTTAAAGTAGTAGTCAATACATAACTTTAACATATGCTTGTATTCTAAATTGATGCTTTAGTCCACTATCCCATTCATCTTTTTAAAAAAAGGCCATCTACCACTGTTCTTCCCCAGACTGGACTCAAATACTGATCCTGGGAGAACATCCTTCCCCTTCAGGTGATGAATCAGTAAAGAGCCTCTGCTCATGAGATCTGAAAAAGGTAATGTGTAATACATCAAGAAACAGACTTTTAGAAGTACCAATTCTGCACCACACTGTTACTCTTTCTGCTGCCTGTCTGCCCTTGGTCTAGTCCACTTCTGCCTCCATATTGGCACCTATTCTTTACATACCAGTGTTCTACTGGAAGAAGTTACCCAATAAGCACTGAAATGGGAATCCAGCTACTATGAGTAGCTTTCTTGAACGTAATTTTCAAGGGAGAGGGAAAACCCTGGAGGTAGACAACCTAAGAGCTTTTCTCACCTTACACCAAGACTCACAGAGAGAATTTTTAATTCATTAAAAGGAGACAAATGAAGATTACTGGAAATTGGAATTTTGGTATATACAAAGTAACTCATGCAAAGGGAGATAGTAGTGACCAAACTTTCACAGAAGAAATAATATATACAGGATCTGAATCTTTGCAAGAGTCAAATTTTGTCTTGGAATTTAAAATATCTCTGAATGCATACCTATCATAGTAGAGAGGGGCACAGATTGCACTGTTTTAGATCAGAAACTCTCTTGTACTAAGCCTGCAATTAAAATATTCTAAACATAGACTATGTCCACGTTGAAGCAATGGACAATAGGTGAAACCATCTTTACCAATTCAAAGCTCAAAAAATTATTTTTTTGCAAGTTGCTTGAAGATTCATCAACATCTGTGTAAGGGGAATACCTAAAAATCCAGAAGTCTATATTTCCTAGGAAAATTTGGAACAGAATTAACAAGGAGAGCACTCAAGAATTGAGTGAATCTTAAATTTGAAAATTCACATTTATATTGGCTACTACAAATCCTTTATGTATTAAGTACTTTGCATGCATTCATAAAATTTTCATAATAACTACTAGGCAGATATTAATTTCTTTAACAGCTTAAGAAGAGCCAGGCTTAAATCAAGTAACTTGCACAAGGGTATAGGTCTAAAAGAGGTAGAGCTCTGAGACTTGGAATCAGGCTTTCTGATTCCAAATTTGGCCCACTGGCTGGCCACAAAACTACCATCAATGCTGGAACTAAAAAAATAACTTTTAAAGATTATCTGAATTGTTCTTCTTGCCAATAATAAAATGGCTTACATACCATATTACTGCTTGAGACAGAGAACCGTATCCTGATAATTTTACTACCTGAGGAGAAAGGGAATTAAAATGTGGCTAGGAGGTGAGTTGACATTTTGTACATGGGGCTGGGTCGAATTTGTTGAAGGTCGACAGCATCTCTAATAGGAAAAGTAAGGTCCTCGCTAAGGTGAGTATTCTCAACAATTTGTTCTATGGCTTTGCAAGTGAGGATGACGAGTTTTGAAGTAGAAAGAAAGGAAACATCTTGGCGAGTTAAGTTACAAGAGCCATCCTCTGCGGAGGTCAACGTCCTGTCACCATTGACACCTGCCCCACTCCAGCCCGTACTTCGGAGGCGGGGATAGCAGTAAATAACCCTCATTGCGCCTCAGTCCTCCAAACCTAGGGCTGCGGGCAGCGGAGGCCCAACCCTGCGCTGGCGCCTGGCTCCGCCCGCGGGGTACGCGCCGCCAGCCCACCAGCACGCGGCTCGCGGCGCCCCGGACGCATAGTGCCCGCAGCTACGCAGGTCCGGCGCGGCTGCGGGAGGGGCGGGGCCCTGGGCGGGGCTGGAAGGCCGCGAGGGGCGGGGCCGCGGGTTGCTCGCGCGCGCCGCCGAGGCTCCGCGCGCCGTCGTGCCGGCTGGGCGTCCCTGTGCAGCCGCTGCCACCGATGGGGGAGGTGGAGCCGGTACCCGCGGGCCCTCTGGAGCCCCCAGAGCCGCCCGAAGCTCCCGCGAGCCGCCGGCCGGGCGGCATCCGGGTCCTGAAGGTGAGGCAGCCGGGCGGGAGGGTTGGGAAGAGAGCGGAGGCGGGGAGCGGCCGCCCCTACCCCGCGCGGTGGCGGAGGCAGCGGGCGACCCCTGCCCCGCGTCAGTCAGTTCGCTTTGCTGCTCCGCCGTGGGGCAGCCCCGCTGAAGATGCCGCGGCCCCGGCCTAGGCCTCCGCGCCTGGCCCCCGCCGAGGCCTCGGCCGTCTGCGTCCCCTCCGCTGCCCATCCCTGGCCGCGAGCCACCCGCCTTGCAGGCCCACGCCTTTGGGTCCGGCGTCCGCCCGGCCGTCGCCGCCGCCCACCGGCTCATTCGGGACTCGCGGGCCTGCCTCTGCCTCCCTCGGCCGCGCTCGGAGCCCGGGAGCCGGTCGCTCCTGGCCCAAGAGCTGGGCTGGAAGTACGCAGGGCTTCCTCCCCGGACACCTGAAGACATCACCCCAGCGGGAGGATGGCGGCGGTGATTGGCCGGGCGCTGCGCTGTGCTTGGGGCTGCGCTGGGTGGAGCGGGCCGACTCTGCCCTCAGGCTTTACCATTGAAGTTAAGACCCGGCTTCCCGCTCGGAGGTGCGGGCCTGGAAGCACTACCTCCTCCGCCTGGAGAGAGAATCCCCACAGTAGCCTATTCTCAGGGACTCGCTGGGCGTGTTGCAGGAGGAAGGAGTGGTTGGACAGAAAGGGGCATTCCTGCTCGCGGGAGCGGGCCTAACAATCCAGGGAGACGGTAATGGGGAGCCGTTATGCAACAGGCAGCTATCGGGGCTTTTTGGCAGGAATTGGGGGAAGTAGGAGGAAATGAAAGCAGATGCAGGCAAGTCGGGGCGGGGGGAAGTGGAGCCTTGAAGGTGATGACAAGAAGTTCAAATGCGCAAGGAGTGTAGGGTGGGGAGGTGACAGTGAAGATGGTTACAAGGAGGGGTTGTGGGAGACTAACTGGAGTTTTCTCCTAGCCTTTGAATTTGAAATAGTTGAGGAGAATTTTTTCTGTGGGTCAAATATGTAAACTAGGTGTTCTTCTGGAGATGGAATGGAATTCCTTATGGAGTTGTAGAAGAGGAGTCAGCGGGATTTAAAACTTGCCCAAGGAGAAGAAAGAGTTTATAAAAGAAAATCTAGACGACTTAATGTGTTTCAAAACTACTTTGCAAAACAATGAAAATACGTGATGTTAAAAAATACATAAAGTATTAGTTAATTGGGATTGAGGGTGAGCGCAATATACTTGTTATTAAGATAATAGGACATCACAAAGATGGGAACACTGAAAAAATAATTGATTTGAAGCATCTGGTGACTCCAGAAATAACATAAAGTAGGACTCCGTACAATATAAAACAGTTTTTTCTACTACCTTCCAATCTTAATGCAGCGATTTAAAGAAATAACTTTCCATAGTTTATCTCCACTTCTGCATAAACCTTGTACATATTTGTTGTAACTTATTTAACTGTAATTACAACTATAATTACGCAAAGGATTTTGGATGTTTGTTTAAAACCATAAGGTCACAAAAATGTAAATTGTAAATGAACATAACAGAAAGTTCAGCCAGCCTGGTTTATCAGGAAATGGCAGGTCTGAGAGATAGATAAAGCCCTCTGGCCTAGAAGGTAAACAACCTTAGCTTTTTTATATAAGAACTTTTTTTGGTGGGGAGAGAGTGAGTTGTGAGAGGAAAGGAATTGAGAAATGAAGATCTTTACTGAAAGGTCCTACCTTCCTACACTTCCAAGAAGTGGTCCAGCCTACCACTGGTTCCCTGGAGTTCCAATCTGGGGACCCTTAGGAAGATTCCAGAAATTGATCTTGATTATAGTGCTGGTGGTGTAGGAGGCTGACAGTGTCTAAGGCCCTTACATCCCTTGCTTCATTGTGTATGGTTAATGCTTTAAATAATCTTTGCAAATAAATGGGATCTACTGTGGAGAATAGGTGTTATGTGTTCTACATACAGAAGTTCCCTTAAATAGCTGAGTGGTTGAATTTTGTGCCAAGTGAAACCAGAAAAGAATACATAAGTAGAAGACTTTATGAATTGGGAGGAAAGTCATAATTTCCTACATGTTATTCTCTGAAGGCCCTTTGGAAAAGACATTTCTTTTTGTAACTCTTTTATACTTAGTACTGAATTATGAGCATCGTTATTCTCAAAAAATATATAGATCTTCATAAAAAGGCTAATATAACTAAGCCAGTGTTATTTAGCCATATTAGATCTAGGCCCATCTGTATACAGGTTCAGTATTGGAAAAGTTGATTCAAAATCTGCCCTCAGATTTATTTAGCAAGTTGCTATTTAGAATGTACCCCTTTATAATTGTAGTTGGAACATAAGTGTGATATTTTTAATATTCTTAAAATTATTGGGAGTACCTTTGAAGCATAAATTTTCTAGGTGTTTCCTCCAATTTTAGGATTTTTTTTTTTTACTCAGTCTTAGAAGATATGAAGTTATAACTAATCTAGTCAGTGAGTATGATAAGGTTTGTTTTTCCAGTAATAGTTGAAAATCAAGATAGTTTTGATCAAAATAATGTGTATATGGTTTTTAAAAAAATCAGTACCAGAAAAATTTTAATGAACTAAAATATTCTTCCTCTCCTAAACTCATTCCACCCTTTCAAAAAATATACCTTAACATGTATATTCATAGAGATGAGCCCATATTATTTTAAAGTTTGAATGCAGAAACATATTTCTTCCCTTAGGATATTTTACACTTTAATAGTGCTCATTGTGTATGGAGAGTTACTTTACCAGACCCTGTTTTTTGCATGCATATCATATTGTAGAGTTAATTGTAGATGTGCCTTTAATAGTTGATCACCTTTGAACTGAGCACAGCTCTCATATTTTATCTTCATTTTTATAGTGTTAAAAGCATGAAACCGACATGGGTACTTAATTCATGGCTTACTCTACAGACTTTTGCTTTCTAGAAATATCTTTAAATCTTAAATGTGCTCTTTATATACTTGTTTGATGTGAGAGGTGATTTAGTTGTGTTCCCTTTTAGATAAGTTTGTCAACAAACAGTTCTTATATAAGAGTAAGGGAGGGAGGACTTAAAATGTTCTCAATCTAGCAATTCCAGTGGCATAGTGATTCTTAAAACCTGAAATCATCTCAGAGGATAGTAAGTACGTATTGGCCTTTCTAGCAGTTATCTGATGCTTTAGGTAGTAGAGAAGAGAGCGCTAGGAAATTCAGCAGTGGCTAATAATAGCTAAACAACCCATGTAGATTGTTGCTACAAGGCAGTGCTTTCTTAGTATCGAGGCCTTTAAAATGCCCATTGATATCTACTTAAGTTCTAACTCAGTGGTTTATCTTCACTGGGTGAATATATCATGTAGGCAGGAAATACATTCTTTGATCAGCAACAGTATGTTCCAATAATGTTCAAGTTCCTTAAGGAATTTATAGTCTTAAGGGAAATATATATGCACATTGAAAAATGACTTAAAAATCCTCACACAAGAAAAATCATGGATGAACTCATGTAATACTTCCTGGGCCTTTTCTAAGATTGAGAAGGTCAATGGGACATTACATTACATTAGTTGGCCTTAAAAAGTTTTTTTAAAGAAGCTTTTTGGTGGTTGTATGGAATAGTGTCTACTTCCTGTCTCTATTTTTAAAGATTTTTTTTTTCTTGGGGAATTGGGGGAAGGGGAACAGACAAGTTGCTGTCCTTTTGTTCTTCAGTCTAGTTGTGGAGGACGTTGCTTCACTGGCCCAAGTTGGCACCAT